GTGCCCTGATCCTCGGCCCCCAGCGCCCGGAGCCCCGCGCGGGTTCTCTGAAGCCGGCCGGGGCTGTAAGCGCCAACTGCGTTTAGGACGTCTGTTAAAACGGATGCACCCTGACCGTATTGCTAAGGGAAAACATCGCATGTCTTCTCTTATAGGACAAAATCAAAGAATAAGCTAAGAACAAAATAAGAGACATGATAGCAAGCAGGGAGGCAGAGTTTGTGGAGACAGGGGACGGCGATGAGGGGAGACGGGAGGCGGGCAAGAGGAGGTAAAAGCCTCAGGACGCGATTTTTGTGTCTACCGATTCCCCATGGTGAATACATTAGTTTGTGTCACAGACATAGAATAATAAAAAGCGAAATTTTTTTTAGGGGCTGGGGATTTAGCTCAGCAGCAAAAGTGCCTGCCTGGCAAGCGCAAGGTTGTGAGTTCGGTTCCCGGTACCGGAGAAAAACCAAAAAAATAAAAAGCGAAGAACAGAACATCACCAGTATGCTGGTGGGATGAAAGCTTGATAGAGGAAGGAGACTCCTAGGGAAAGCTGGGCTCTTGCATCGCTGTGTGCTGGTCCTGCGTTCTGGTCTTCTCTTCCAGAGGGGAGAGCAGAGCTGCCACTGAATCTCATAGGCAAATCTCACAGGGGTTCCACGGGTGCGGAGAGACAGGGAGAGGGAAGAGGAGGGGGAGGGGGAAAAAGAGACGGGGAGGGAGAAAATGAGAGGGGGAGGGTGAAAGGAGAGGGGGGAGAAGATGAGAGGGGGAAAGGAGAGGGGGAGGGTGAAAAGGAGAGGGGGAGAATATGAGAGGGGGAAAGGAGAGAGGGAGGGTGAAAAGGAGAGGGGGGGAGAAAAGGAGAGGGCGAGGGAGAAAAAGAGGGGGAGGGAGAAAAGGAGAGAGGAGGGAGAAAAAGAGGGGGGAAAGGAGAGGGGGACGGTGAAAAGGAGGGGGAGGGAGAAAAGGAGAGAGGAGGGAGAAAAGGAGAGGGGAGAGAGAAAATGAGAGGGGAGAGAGAAAACGAGAGGGGAGAGAGAAAAGCAGGGGGGAGGGGAAAATGAGAGGGGGAGAGGGAAAACGAGCGAGGGAAAGAGTGAGACAAAGAGTGAGAGAAGAGAAAGGAGGGAGAGAGGAGGTGCGGGCGTGGTTTCCTGTGCACTGGCCTCTCTCATCCTCTGCGTTCTGCACACTCCCCGCTTAGAAGAACGAAGACCCCGGAGCAGCCCCGGGGACACTACGGCAACATTTCCATGCGGTGACCGCGACGTGAAGCGGGCGTCGCTGCGGGGCCGCGGCATGCAGGCAGCAGCGCCGGGGATCCCGGCCGCCGCGCCCCCCCACCCCCCGGGAGGTGACGTCAGGGATCCAAAGGGCCGGGTGGGGCCCCGCCTTGCAGCTCTGAGGCCTAGGACCCATCTTTTTGATAGAAAAAAGGGGCCAGCGTTTCCTCTCCCGCTCCTTGAAGCCACCGTGCAGGCAGCCTCGGAGCAGCGCCGGCCACCACGCCATGGAGGACAGGTCTCGCTGCTGCTCGGCCCGCCGGTCCAAGGCCGCCACCTCTCAGGCGGCTTTGGCTGTCGTTCTCTGTGTGGCGTGTGCGGTCGTTTGCTTGGTCTTCTGCCTCAGAACCCCGCACTTCGCAGGGCAGCCAGGGGTGAGTGGAGAGGCGGGAGGGGGCCCCAGCGCCCGGCGGGGGTCCTCGGCTGGAAGCTGGGGGGAAGCTGGAGGAGCCCCGAGACCGTCCGCTGGAGCTTTGCGCGATCAGTCCGGGTCAGAGCGCGAAACGTGACTGCGGAGTCGGGGCTCAAGGGAGGAAGAGCCAGAAAGGAGAGCCGCGGGGGGGGGGGGGCGCAGCTGGGGAGGACCCGGATGAGGGGGGCCTCGCAGATTGGCAGCGGCGCGGGGGCGGGCGCAGAGCGGTGCCGCCCACACCCGCAGGGCTGGGATCCCCACGATCCCCGCGATCCAAGAGTCGGGGGTCGCATCGCCTCCCCAGGGTCTGGGGTGTGAGCTGCGGTGACAGGACAGGGACCCGAGGTCCGGGGAGACCTGCCAGGTCTTCTCTGGCGGCTCCAGGTCCAAAACGACTTTCTCCTTGGGATGTCTTTCCGGAGAAAATGGGTGCGCGATGAGCTATCGCATGTTTCTCTCGTATGAGAAACCCGAAGTGGAAATAACTTAGGGCAGAATGAAAGCGAGACGGGAGGAAAGGGAGGCAGAGCTCGTGGGGAGGGGGGGGATGGGCGCGGGGAGCGGGCAGGACCCGGGCCGAGGCGCGCACCACTCGGGCGGTGACCGCGGCCGTGCGCCAGGCAGGTGCGAAGGAGAAGGAAGCGCAGACACGGCGCAGAGACACCCCAGGCCGGAGGGGAGAGAGGCGGCCGTGGGGAGGAGTCTCAGGGGACGGTTACCCCCGCTGATGACCTTGTCCTGTGTTCTGTCTTTTCGTCCAGGGGGACGCGGCGGAGCTGCAGCTGAATGTCACAGGTGATGAGGGCTCCGCGGGTGCCCTGCGTGTGTGCGCGCGCGTGTGTGTATGTGTGTGTGTGAGAGAGAGAGAGAGAGAAAGGAAGAAGGAGGAAGAGGAGGTGGAGAGGAAATGTCAGAAGGAAAGGGGAGGCAAAAGGGAAAGAAAAGAGAGGAGAGAGGGAGGGAGAAAGAAATGAAGAGCGAGGGTGAAGCGGGAAGGCTCTTGACTCGTGGACAGTGAACGCCTTTGCTAGAAAGGAAAGCGGAAGTGAAAGAGCGAAACGGAGAAGAGACAGTGTGTGCGATTCCTGTTTATCGGCTCCTCCCTCATCTCGGCTCTACACTTTTCACTGCCCCCCTGCGGAAAACCGAAACACTCATCAGACCCGCCTCGGGCTGCAGCAGAGCGCGGCGCAGGTGGATCCGGGCTTCCGCGCCCCTGCCCAGGGCGGGGACAGTCAGCACAGCCGAAGGGCGCGAGAGCCGGGTGGCGGAGGGCTGGAGGGCTCGGCGGGAGGGCCTGAGGCTCGTCCCCAGCACCGCACTCGGGCACATGAGCAGCGAACGGGAGAGCGAGGCCACGTGTAGGAAAAGGGGCAGAGGAGGTCTGGGCCGGAAGTGAGGCCGGGGAGAGGTGGGGCACCCCGGGGAGGGCCTGCTCCCTAAAGTGGGTGGAGGGTAGCCTCCCTGAGCAGGAAGGACTACAGGGTGGGTAGGTGGGTCGCCAGGCTGCTGGGGTCCGTGGGAAGCCTCTCCCTTTACCCGTTCAACCTCCTCTCGGGAACCTTCTTTACGGAGCACAACAGACCGCTTCTCACCCCACCTGCATGTGCCCAGCCACCCCCTCTGTACATGGCTGTACTGGGACTGAACCCAGAGCTTTCCTACTGAGCTACATTTCTGGCCCTTTTTATTTTCTATTTTAAAAATAAAAGGAGGAAAACATTAACGGACAGACAATCTTTTACAAAATAGCAGAAGAACAGTACAGACAATACAGAGTTACAAACAGTGATAGGCAATGAACAATGCTTGTTGTATTACATATTGACATCTTCAAAGTGGTTTCTCACGAAAACAGATAGAGACATGCAGTATTGATCAATCCACGACTCGTTAACAGTTTCTTTCAGCAAAGGAATAGAAGACAGTAGATCAACTATGGTAACTATCCTGTATATACATACATACAAAATTTCTCCTTCTTTCCCTTTTCTTTTCCCACATCCCAGTTGCCCTTTACCCTTGAGCACTCCAGGCTTTTATCGGTAAATGGTCACAACTAGAGACCATACTCATAAGTGAAATAAATCAGACCGGCATGTGCAAGCACTGCATTGTCTCACTAGTGTAAAACCTGAAAGAGTTAATATAAACTCGGAGGCTGGATAGACGTTGTGAAATGATAGGAAAGCACTCTGGCCCTTTTTAATTGGGTGTGTGTGTGTCTCTGCAAGTCCCTAAGTTGCCTTACTTATGATCCTCCCGCCTCAGCTTTCCAGCGTGTTGGGGTTGTAACCTGTCCCACTGCGGCTAGGTTTCCTCTCCCTTTAGCTCTCTCCCTCGCCCTCCCCTTACCTCTCCCTCCCTAATGCCTTGTCCCACTATCTGTAGCAACACCCAGTTTTCCTAACCTCCACCCCATCCTCTAACCCTCCGCCCCAGGTCCCCGGCAGGACCCCAGGCTGCGCTGGCAGGCGGACCCGTCCTTGGGGCGCTCTTTCCTGCACGGACCTTCACTGGACGACGGGCAACTGCGTGTCCGCCGCGAGGGGGTCTACCACCTGCACATCCAGGTGACCCTGGCCAAGTGCTCCTCCACGGGGCACGTCAGGCACCACGACGCCACCCTGGCCGTGGGCGTCTGCTCCGCCACCCACAGCGTCAGCCTGCTGCGCCTGGGCTTTGGCCAGGGTTGCACTGTGGCCTCCCAGCGCCTCACGCCGCTGGCCCGCGGGGACGTCCTCTGCACCAACCTCAGCCTGCAGCTGCTGCCCTCCCCAAACGCCGACGAGACCTTCTTTGGCATCCAGTGGGTCCGCTCCTGACCGACACCTGCTTGGTTGGTCTGTTTCTGTTTTCTGTAAATAAATGTATTTTCCAATTTCCCCCGCACATGAGTCTTTGATGAGTAAGCAAAGCCCAGCCCAGCCTGCTTCGATGGACAAAAGAAATCTCACTTATTCCCCTCAGAGTCCAGGGCTCCATAAACAAACCCACCCTGGCACGGTAGCCAGTGACTCAGGAGCCTGAGGCAGGAGGATTAAAAATTCAGGGCAAGCCTGGGCAACAAATGACTTAGGGAGACACTGTCTCAAAAAAATTAAAATGGGTGTGGGTAGAGTTTAGTGGTAGAGCACCCCTGGGTTTGATGGCCACCAAAAATAACCATAAACTTGTACAAGGGACCTAAGGAAGGACGATGATTAAGTATGATGTAATATCGTGAGGAAAAGAACATTAAACACGTAAATATAGAAATAGGGAAACGTGGTGGCACACACCTGTCCTCCCTACACTCTGGCAGGCTGAGGCAGGAGAGCCACAAGTTTGAGCCCAGCTGCAGTAATTTAGCAAGACTCTGTCTCAAAATCAAAAAATAAGAAGGGCCTGGGATATAGCTCAATGTGAAGGGGAGAATTTAATAATCACGAACCCATTTTTGGTTCATTAACTATATTAAATGTATCAGACTAGTGCAAGATGCTATTTCCAAGATCTAGCTATTATAAATTGTGCCGCTGTAGACGTTGATATGCATGTGTCCCTGTAATAGGATCTTAACTCTTTTGGGAAGATACCTAGAAAGGGGATAGCTAGGTTGAATGGAATTTCTCTTCTTAGTTTTTTGAGGAATCTCCACACTGATTTTCATAGTGGTGTTACCGCGAACAACTGGCTGGGCAGTTCCTCTTCCCCCACATCCTCACCAGCATTTGCTATTACTAGATTTTGGGGAGGTGTTTTGGGAGTAAGAATCTTTTTTTATCTTGTACTCTGAGTAATCACTTTGAAGGTAATGATGCACAATGTAATAATTATTATTACTCTTATTACTTGATTATGGATTTTAGTTTTTCATAGACTAGAAAACATTTTTGAAAAGTTGCTCTGTTAGTCATTTTGAAAGGCAGTAACAAAATACCTCACACTGGATATTTTATAAGGAACGTGAATGTGCTCTTCACAGTTTCAGAGATTGGAAGTTCAAGAGCAATGCTCTGGCAGAGTCAGTGTCTGGCGAGGGCTGAGACTGCGTCAAAAACTTTGAAAATGGCACCTTGTGTTTAGTCCTCAAAGGAGCACGGCGGTGGTGTGGTCGGGGGGGGACCACATGCTTCTTTGTTTTTGTTTTTTTTTTTTTTTGTTTTTTGGTTTTTCTCCGGTACCGGGAACCGAACTCACGACCTTGCGCTTGCCAGGCAGGCGCTTTTGCCGCTGAGCTAAATCCCCAGCCCCCACATGCTTCTTTGTAAGGACATGAGCATGATTCATGAGCACAGCCCTCCTGACTTATACCTCCCAAGGGCTCTACTTCTTACGACTATAGAAGGTGTCAGATTCCAAATCCTGCATTTTGGAGGGGACAGCAACATTCTGACCACAGCAGATGTGATGAGAAAATGTGCAGATGGGGTATATAGGAACTCTGCATATTCTCTGCTCAATTTTCCTAGACATCTAAAACTGTTTTAAAACACAAAAGCTACCCATTAAAAAAAAAAATGAGTCAAGTAAAATGTGGCAGGAAGCTGCAGCAAAAAAGGAACTCGGAATTTCAAAACGTTGAGCGCCGCGTTTGTAATACAGCAGCTTCCGAGGGGCTCTCCTGGATACGTGCAAAATGATATCAAAATATATAAGCTAGAAACTTTCCCTTTGCATGTGCACCCTTGCACACAGCAGCATTCGTTTACTGCAGTCAAAATGCAAAAGCAGCTGACGGAAGGGCAGACACATTGTGGTTCCTGTACACCATAGAATATTCCCCAGCTGTGAACAGGAAGGAGATTCTGACGCTGCTGCGATGCCCCTTGAAGACTGTGGTCAGGGACCTGAACCAGACACCGAAGGACATTCGCTGCAGGGTCCCACTCCCAGGAGGGATCCACAGAGACTGGAGAGAGGAGGGTGGTGCGGGGCTGGGGAGGGGACAGAGGCTCAGTTTGGGGAGATGAGGTTTCTGCACAGCCATGGGAATGTGCTCAGTGCTACTGAGCTGCGCACCGCGGTTCCGATGGCAAATTTTACGTGTATTTTGTCACAACAAAGAATTAATAAAATAATAAAAGAGAAGGGTTTAAACTCACTTTCCTCTACTCCTATTGCATAAGGATTCTCAGGTAGGGAAGAGCTCTTTAAAAAAAAATGAGAGATATCCCACATTTCCAAAACTTTGTCTGGTTAATTGCTTTTGTCAATAAATTAAAAGGTCTCTAATGTGGATATGTATACATAACATTAGGAAAATGCTTATGTAACTGTTGCTCACTGTTCTGGTTTTTTAAACCTATAATATCTCTTCCAGTCTCTAAATTTTTTGTAAAGTTTCTTTTATTAAAAAAAGACCCCCCTATATTCACATTAATGGCAAATCTTCCGTTACTGAGATTAAAATTTACCCTTGGGTCCCCTCCCCTGGTTCCAGTCTGAGGTGAGGATGGCGGAAAGCAGCAGCAAGTTACCGGCAATGGAGACAGAAACTACCTGTCGCTAGCTGGAGGGGAGGAGAGCACAAAAGAACTTCTAAGAATTAGGATGGAGTGTCGGTCAGCACAGCTGCCAAAATCTGTTACAGAGGTAAACCGAGGGGAGCTTAGACTTCAGATAACATAAACCAGCACCTTCAAAGTCAATGTCCTACTTCCCGAGCACTGCAAAATAGGACAGTGAATGCTACTGGCACTTCACTACAGGCACACTAGAAAAAAAGAGCAGGTTTGGCTGAGGGGAAGTGACAAGGGCCGGGTACTACCCTCTTCAGCTGTTACACATGCTAACACCATCATCAAGCCTAAGGTGTTTCAGTTCAGTTACCATAACTGTCCTCCTACTTGTGTGCATGATTTGAGGGAAGATTAGAGCATTTTAAAACATCAGTGAAGTGGAAAAGCCATTTTCAGAGCCTGTCTCACTTGGGGACACAGGTCCATCTGCCCAGCCTATAAGACACAGAGAATACAGTTTTCAATCTAATGAATTAGTTTTAAAAGAGTCTCTAAACAAGAAGCCAAATCAAGTCACATACACTAGAAAACATGATTACCTCTAATGTGGGTATGTCACAGAGATGTTAGTGCAGATTCATGTATTAAAGGGATTGTTCCTGACTTTAGAGTGAAAGCTTTCAGTTGTTGTCCATTTCCTATGATGTTGGCCATTGGTTTGTCATAGATGGCTTTTATCAGTTGAGATAAAGACCATCTATTCCAATTTTCTATAGGGTTGTTGTCATGAATGTGTGCTGGACTTTACCAAAAACTTTTTTGGCATCTATTGGGAAGATCATGTGATTTCTGTCTCTGGCTCTGTTGACATTGTGTATTACATTTATTGGTTTGCAAGTATTGTACCATCCCTGCATTCCTGGGATAAATCCCAACCTGGTCATGGTGTATAATCTCCTTGATGATTTGTTGAATTCTGTTTGCCAGTACCTTATTGAGGGTTTTTGCATCTGTGTTCATTAGGGAGATTGGCCTGTAGTTCTCTTTTTTGGTTGTATCTTTCTCTGGTTTTAGTGTCAGGATAATATTTGCCTCCAGGAAAGAGTTAAGGAGTATTGCTTCCCTTTCAATTTCATTGAAGAGTTTGAAGAGTATTGGCCTTATATCTTCTCTAAATTTCTTGTAGAATTCAGCAGTGACTCTATCATCTATCTATCTATTTTTCTATCTATCTATACACACACAC